TCAGCAGGAGATACTCAACTCTTCTGGCAATAAGAAAATATCATTCCTGAAGGTGCCCAACTGCAGTCCTGCAGAAGTCCTGTTGTGCAGAAGGAAGACCACGAGGGCACAGGGTTTGGGACTGAGATCTCAAAGGGTATATCCGCTGGGCTGAGTGAGCCTGTGTGAAACCTGTACCTTGGCTGTGGTTGTATCTGTGATCTGATATAGAAGATATTTTGGCACCCCATCCCTCCTCGGTGTCTCCCCGCTGCCCATCTCTTCCTGGCATGTGAGTTTTCCTTCCACCACAGCAATCAGCAGCCATGTCTCCCCACTACTGCTTTCTTCTGTTCTCCTTTCTTTTCTCTTTGCTGCATCCCACCCCCTCACACAGACAGTTTGGATCCCAGGGTTTTTGGGGGGAGCTAGACTAGCCCTTTTACCCCATGCCAGGAACGGTGCTCAATCCACTGGCATACATCTTTAAATATTTTAGCTGCTTTCACTACTACTTTCTAATGAAAAGCTCCAAAACTTCCTTTTTAAAGAAATTAGATCTTAACTTGACCCTAGCATCTGCAGCATTAACAATAAGGGCTCACTGTTTCCACTGGGACCTGCCAGGATTTCAGAACGGTTAATTCCGAGTTACCCACTGGCCACTCCTGAAACCCCAGCTTGCCATTGAACAAAACCAACTAGCATGCCCTTGGATTTTTCACCCCAAAGCAGTTCCTGAGGTTGATGATCCCCAGCACGGCAGAAGAACTGTTTCAGTCATTGTTCTTACATCCGAGATGCTTCACCTGATTAATCACAAAGCAAAAAATGAACAAACAAAACTCCGGAGACTTTGCCACAGACCCCCTTGTAACAGCACTTAAGTGCTGATCCTCTAAATAGGTGGGGTGTGTGACAAACTTAAGGTACGAAAAGTACCTTGGAAAAAGTAATTACGAGAGGAAGATCAAACAACAGGGCTGACAATAGAAAGCTTGCTGCAACCACCGCTATGGAAATGCCTCGGGGGCTCTACGAAAGTTTCCTTTTAAGGACCAGTCTCTCGAAGCTCACTGCTCTGCCAATAGAGCAGAGTGTCCCAGCTCCTTTTAAAAAAATCGTTTTGGGGAACCGTGGCTTGCCTACGCTCTCTACACAGGAGTTGAGGCACATTCTCATGCATAGTCCAGTAAGGACAGAATGCACAACGCAAACAAAAGCTGGCATTTAGGCAGGTTTTAAACATGCAAACAAAAAAGCACCTCTTTCAGCTAATTGGGGGGGGGGGGGGGGGAACTCCCTATATATTTTTAATATATGCTATTAAAGCGCATACATGGACTTTGTGATTTTCTTTTTAGCACAAAGGAAACGGCCCTCCACAGAAAGCAAAAGACATCAACAGCAGGCTAGATGGGGCAGGCATCCTGGCAAATGTTGGCATTTTAAAACACAGGCACTAATAACCCTAGGATCAGTGTGAATTAGATGAAAACAAAAGAAAGAATTTGAAGAGTAGTGACTATAGGATTTGTTGCATTGGTCTTTTATTAGAGAGCTAAACCTGCAGTTAGAGAAACTGTAATGCTGTTTAGCAACTGGAATAAGATTTGGGAAATAGTGAAGCAGGATCCAGAGCGTAGTAAAATGAAAGTCTCCAGAATATATAGTCTTAATTAGATCTGATAATATGGTCTTTATTTAAGGAAAATTGCCACTCGGTTCCGCCTGAAATCAGACTTCTTGGTAATGCAGTTGTAGAACCAATTCCTCGGTGAATTTAGATAGATGATCTTGGAAATTTGTACTGCCCTGCTAACTACCATTTAAAAAATCTTTTCTGCTTCCAGATTCCTCCAATACAATTTAAATATTGAGAGAGGTTACAGAGGGCAGTTCCAGAGTGTTTGTAGGGCAGCAACTCTGCTTAATCCCACACGTTGTGGCGCATCAGCGCTGCTGACGCACCAAGTTACTCATGTGCACTTCTATTTGCAAAAATATCCTGTAAACTTTTCTAAAGTTATGTTAAGCTATAACACAGAAAATCACATGTTCCTTTCCGTAAAATATCTAATTATTTGTTTTAGTATTCGAATATGACATTTCCTTGCCAGCTTAGGTCACAGGCCTATCTTACAAGGTACTCAGTACTGGAAATTCTTCTGCTCCTCCTTTAAAGACATTTTGCCTCATCAGATACAGTTTCTCCAGCTCGTTCCTCCTTCGTTTTCCCTTGTTCTTGATAACTTTCAGTACAACCCCAATCATTGTCATTTGGAAACCCCTGAATCAAACGTTATATAGAGGCACTGGGGGTTGGAGGATTTAAATCCCCCTTCCTTTCCCAAATGTGCTTATTATCTTGTGAAAACCCTAGGAGGGAGCGTTATTTTTCCCTTGTACTTTTTTTCCCCCTGTGGAAAGCTCAGTCAACTGCACTGGGTCATCCCCTCTGTCTCCCCTTCCACTGCGTCCCTCGACAGTGACCTGCCCTCGCAGCGCAGCACGGTAGGTAGCCGGTTCTTGTTCGGGGTGCTTAGAGCGGCCGATATACTCTGTGCATCGCCTGTACGCAGAAGGAGGCAGGAAAGAGAAGAGTTTTGCCGATGCCCATGCTCAAAGGCTAGACCTAACAGTAGTTGTACCTCCTCTACCGAGGCACTGCCATGGGGGTCACGAGATAAAATAAACCAAAGAGCACTCTTAAAAACACGGGGAAACTGAGACACCATAGCCTCCAGCAGGTGCCGGGGGAAGGAGGCAGCATGTTCTCGCCTGCATTGAAAGAATTTTTTGCATTCTTCTTTGACTAGTCTTGATTTCAGCCTTCCTTCTTCCCATGTAACAACAGCCGTCCAAACTTGCCTGAGTGAAAGGGCAGAGTCACCCTAAGTGCCCTCTCAGATTTACTCTATCGCTAAGGGCTGCACAGTAACAGTTAGGATGTTTGCATGCCACATACTGTGGCCATATACCCTGCACAACTGTGGTGGAATTTCTATTTCTAGATCATTCCTGGCTGTTGCCTTTTTGCTCCTTGCTATTTCGATGCAATTTTTCAATTGAGAAATACACTTTCTTTAAGTAGCTTCGCAGAAAATAAAAATCTTCTAACACCAAGCAGAACTAATCTTAGTATTAGTTTGTCGCAATAGGTTGTACTCGAGACTAACCCTGAAGATCACTCAGAATCTGCTCCCAGCACTAAACATAGCTACCAGCCTGCTGGGCAAGAAGGACGGCTATCAACCACAAGGAGACTATTACACCAACTCTCCGGAGGCTGCACTGACTTCTTATTTGCTTTCCAGATGCAGGTTGGACAGCTGATGTTGAGTGATAAAGCCCTGATTGATTTGGGCACTGCCTAAGCGTGGTCTGTCTGCCTGGTGGTGCAGGTCAGTGGAGTGGCCTCGCAAATGGCCTCCGTATGCGAGTAACTGGCGTGCTTCTCCTGGAGGCTTCCCGTGACTGGGTTTAGCATCCTCCACTGACGTGCCATAACCCGAGTGTGTAGACGGTCAGTGCACCACATAGGGCCCATGTGTTTAACTCAGCCCTTTTCAGGTGTAATTTTGGGATACAGCAAGGAGAGAGTGCCTTTATCAGAGCTGTTTATATTTGGTCAGGTAGCGGTCTAATGTTTTCCAGGATTGTATAAGCAAATGTTTACCTAATATTTCATTTGAATAAAACAGCTGAACAGCTTGGAAATAAAATTTTTGTCAAACTGCTCAAAATTATTTGGTTTTCCAAAGGAAAAAAAACACTTGACTGTAAAATAAACATGAGGGAAAGAAGGTAATTTTGTTAACTGATCAAGGTTTCAGCCTGTTCATTCAAAGTATGAATGCAGACAGGACACTGTTCAAAGTATTCCAGCATGCTCAAGGAAGACCTAATCTGCTGAAATCTTCAGTGACTGCTTCCTAGACATAATTCAGGATCAGTACTCATTCCTCCTTCTTGAGATGGTAGCTCTTTCTGATACCAAGAACCAGACCTGCCTCCCTGGAAATCCTGTTTCCCTTGGCTTCCCGACTGTCTTCCCCCAGTGCTTTTTCTGCCTCTGCAATTGCTACATGAGTGCACCTGACAGAGAATCCTTCCTGTTTCTCCCTGCAGGCTTCTGTGTGCATCCCTCGTGCTCTTGCTCTTCTCCCTCTTATCTGTTTGGAATCTTATCTGCAAAAATTATTCAACTAATAATTCATTGTGACCGTTTCTTGGATCTGCATATCCTCTCCAGACCATCGCTCTCCTGTCCAAATGAATACCTCAGCCTGTCTCTCTGACACTTCTTTACTGGTGCAGACCCTTCAGTTCAAGATCAATACGGCAAGAATTAAAGTCTTAATAATTTCTCCCTGAGTGCTCACTCCATATTATTTGCTCAATAACGGTGGACCGCACCATCATCTTTCCTGTCCTTCAGGTTCATGATTTAGATATCATTTTTGTCTGTGGGCACTCTCTTTGGAGCTATATTTAAATCTTGCAGATTTTTCTCCTGTACAGTATCTAAAAACTTTCCCCATCCATCCACAAGTCTGGACTCATCCCGATTCTCAGCATCTCAATCACTGCAGTGCATCACTACCTGGTTCTCCCTCTGGCCTGTAACGTAACATGGTCCTATGTATGGCCATTCAAAATGGGCTCCCTTTCTCTGCCCAGCTTTGAAGTTTTCTCTTGGACTCTTTCCGCCTCTCCCTCCTGTCCCCTTCATTTATTAACTCAACCAAATGTAAGCTGCTTCTGTTCTTGTGGCAGGTCAGTCTTAGCCTGTCTCTCCCCCATGTTGATAATGTTGACTTTTAGCTTCAGCTATGAATGACGTGAATCTTTTTCATGTGCCTGCTCAACTCAAAGCAGCACCTTTGTGCTGTTTCCCAAGTTGCCCCCTGTGCTTGTGAGGGGCTCCTAGAAAACATCCCCAGAGTTACTCTTGTCTGCCGTTGTATCACTCTGAAGTTTTCTGCTTTGATGTAGTGCCCACAAAACGGTGTCAAAGTGCAGTGCCAAGACCACTGCCTCGCACGCTGGCTCTCCTGGCTCCTTTGTACTCCCTTTTCTACTTGTATTCACCAGTTGTTTCTTGCCAGCCTCTTTGGGGTGATCATAACTAGGGCACCTACGCCCTAAGATAAAACAAAACAATTACTACCGATGCTTATTGCAAATCCCACAAAGGTTGTGGTTCTCCTCCCCTCCAGTCCTCCCAAACTTTGCTCTCTAAAACAAAGGTGAGATAAATATGCTCATCTGCTCAGAAGTCATGGTAATCTAGCGCTCATTACTGATCATGGGATAAAGTCAGGGGAGGCAGAGATTACGTGTTCATATTCCCTATGTGAGTAAAACAAACAATATTCATTATGAATTATTGAACTGAAAACCTAAAGTTGGAAAATACCTACGAAAAGCCTTCTCTGCACATTACCCTCACCAGTACATTTGAACACGGGATCGCACACAGTAGGTAGACAGGCAAAGAACAGAAGGCAGTTGACTTGGCCAAGGTTCCCCCGTGTCCCCTTAACTACTGTTGCAGTAATTTGTTTTTCTACTTCATAGTTCCATCTCCTCCTGCTTGTTTGATGTCATAAAAAGCCAGCAACTGTGGCAGTTTGCACAATGCATGTTATAGCCTTGTGTTCGTGTACCACAAATTCAGCATTCTGGATTCATTCATGACTCAGATTGGAGGAGAAAATAGCTTGGGATAGCACAAGCCCTTGATTAAAGCTTTAGGGCCAAACCAACAACAGCTGAGGATCCAGCCCATATGGCCCGAGATCTTTAGCTCTATAAAGGCTGCAGGAATGGGCCCAAATAGCTTTGGTAATTAGCAAATATCGTATAAAATAGATGAAAAGTCTTTGGCAGGGAATGCATATTGAGTAACATTTGAAAATTATTCATAGCATATTAATATACTTCTTTAAAGATAAAACTCAATGGCATAAAAGTAATCTGGGAGGGGCAACAGTAGTCTCTCACATGACTGTCAACAGGCAAACAATTTGTTGGACCCATCAGTGTTTTACAGTTACCTTTTGTCAATGCAACGAAGGGCGGAGGTGACCAGCTAACACCTGGGACCTGATCCTACAAGCTGTCCTGCCTCTGCAGAAGTGTCCTCACACCCTGTGGGGACTCTTTAGCCAAGCTGCCTCCCTGCGTGTGGACAGCTACCATTCTCGGGTCACTCCTGCAGGTCACCCTGTACTCCTCGGTGCCTCGGTCACCCAAGAGCACCCAGAACAACACCCAGAGATGTCTGCAGAAGCAGGACTGAGCCTGCTGCTATCCGAATTCACCGATTTTCGCACCGTAAACAATAACATAGCAATTAATCACCCTGGTGTAGCCGTAAGAGTTACTTTCACAGATTATGGTAAGAAGCACACAGTGTGGAATAAATAATTTTTCACACAAACTCTGAGGAATGGCATGTTATAAAATCACTCTTGATAAAAATATAATGAAAATGTAAAACATCTCAGTACAGTCTCCTGGGTAGAGTCAAGATCATATTAAACCCTCAAGAGACAACGGTCAGGGATTTCAATGAGAATCAAGAGACAGTTTTCCCAGGATGAGCTTGTTAACCTGATGTAAAGACATGATATTGATTTGATGGCTTTGTCTCTTTCACTTTTTTACTTCATTGAGACTATTTTTAATTTAATCATCTTCCATTAATTTATTTAAAGGCTTTATTCATCAAAACAAAATCTTTTTTTTTCTAAAAGCAAATGTTGTTGAAGTGCTGAGAGTACAATCCAGCACGCAGAGTGTCACAAGCAGCACAAGTCTGTTGTCATTGCGTTTGCAGAAGTTTTTCACTAATATTAACAAATAGAGTTACTCTCCCACTCTATTTTAAAGTTCCCTGTGACCGGTTTTTAAGGACTTTGAAATCAGCCCTCTTACAAAGACGTCATGATCTAGCAATCTCAGTACACGCGTCATGACAGTAGCTATTTTAAAATGTTCATTAGGATTTACCTGCTGGTGGCTTTATGAAAGGTGGTGGAATTAATGGGACAATAATAGGTACATTCCCGTGATCCTTTGACCCTGCTGGTGAGTCTGAAAGTCCATTTCCTGTGGCAAGCCCTGGGTAGCTTGGGTTTATATTGTACGGTGAAATAACACTGTCCTCAGGTAATTTTGGTTTTGGCAAAGAATTTTCTGTAAAACACAAAGCACACATTGTACAGTATGACAAATATATTTCTTAAATGCCCCTACATACTTTCACCAATCTGTTCATTAAACTACTTACCCTAATACAAGAAGAGTGCACAAACCCCTGCAGATATTTTCCCTTTCAAAAAACTGATACTTTTCAGTATTCCTCAGAAATGTTCCCTTTTTTTAAATCAAACTCACGCTAAAGACAACTATGCTTTCTTTTTTTTTTTAGAGGTGTGATTATTTTGTCATACATATCCTGAGTATGCCTGATTTAATCAATGATACCTTCACTTTTACTGTTTGCATGGTGATCACACTCAGTGTCCTGTGACTTCACCGATGCAAGAAGCACAAACTGAAAAATAAAAGAATTCCTAATTCTCTATCAACAATACGATGAGTAGTACAAATGGAAAGGATTTAAAGGAAGGAACAAAATATTGAAATTACAGCATGAAATGATGACAGTTATTATTCTAATTCTTTAACCCCAAATCACCTCAGGATTCTTATTTGTAGGAGTTTCTCTAATGCCCTCAACTAGCTATGGGACAGCGCTTAATTCTTACTATTCTTTCTCCTCCCATCTCTCAGAAAAAGAAATACACTTTTTTCCCCTCCCACAGGCTGCATACACCAAAAATTTCTAGCTGGCACAGGTATTCAACATCTTTCTTTGGTACATAAAACATATGATTTGTAACATGAGTCTATGAAAAAGGTATGTCATAAATTTCATCAGGCATAGGCTGCAGCCACAAATAATTCAAATAAAAGATCTGTTTATTAAAACATAAATAAACAAATCATATTACTACACAGGAACAAGTTTCTTCAAAGGTGGCTTAATGACATTGCGTTTTCAATTAAAAATACATATTGATCACCGGTGTCATTGTAGAACTAACGAGTTGCAAACATTCCATTTTATCACAACTAGAACGTTTCGCCTTACCTCTAAGCTTGCCACCTTTCCCCTAGCCATCTCTCCGTCAGAGCCGGCACCAGCACCCACCGCGCCGCTCGCTGAACGCAGCGCTGCGTCCAGCCGTCAGGACAACCCAAGCGCTGCTGGTGACACGCACGGTGAAACGCAGCAGTCCCAAGCGTAAAAGCTGCTGCAGTTTCCTCTCTTTACCTCACCTCTGAGCAACCCTTCTTGGCTAAGTCAAGACGCAGCCGTTTCCTGCTCTTCTCCTCGCTCTGACCACAAGGCCCCTACCCATCTGCTGTGGCTGAGGAGCCAGCGGGGAGCGAGCGAAGGGCTGAACAAACAGCCGGGACCCTATCCTTCACGTTTTGCATCACCTCCTACTACAGCACGCGAAGATCCAGCACTGTCCCAAACAAATTCCACCCCGGAGAACTTCTACGGCACTTGCAGAAGACGGTATAGTACAAACATCCCCGAGGAGCCTTTTGAGAATGTTCATGCTTATTCCCACACGCGTTGTGAATATTCCAGCTCAAAATCTTTCAGCGTTTTAAAAAGCCGTAGGTCAAAAAACCTTAGTTTTGAAAGCAAAAGTGTTCCTTAAAGCCACACTGCTAAGAAAGCGCTGCCTGTTTCATCCAGTTGTGAGCAGTTCATTGGTACCACAGGTACATGACTTTCAACTGACTCACAAAAACTATTATTTGTGAAGATATGTTAGCAAGTGCCTACTAACGGCAATTTTCTTAAGTGGTTTTCCTCATACGCTATTGGCTTCCTCGTAATAAAAGGCACTGTCTGACATTTTTATTTAAACCAACCACGAAGCAGGCAGCAGGATGTGCTTCCCAGTCCACGCCAATTCAGACAGGTTGAGATATTAATCCTCCTTTGCATGAACACAGAAACATTAAGTCTCATTACCTTTGAGAACAGAAATGTGCTGGCGGCTTTCCCCGTCTGCCGAGTAGTTCCTGAATTCAATATCTTCTCCATCTTTCAATTCAACCTTATCATAACCATACCAGCCAAGGAGCTCATTCATAGTGTTCTCTGCAAAGTTCTGAAAGAGAAAAATTGCCTACTTATTTATGTAATCAATAACCATTTGGAAGGAAGGGAGGACTGCATAAATCGAACCGTATCTGTGCTACACGAGGAAGTGTCAGGTTTGGCCCACCTCCTCAAAGACGGATGTTCGTTTCATAAGTCAAGTGCATAAAGTGTAATGCATTTAAATCTCCAACTGGCACATGTAATTATGACAGAGACTCATACGTCTGTAATTTAAAGAAAATGAAAAGGAGAGTTATTTATGACTTTTGCTCTGGCATCCAATGTCAGAAATATTTTAACATACATTCGTCACACAAACTTGTCTGTGTTGCCATAAAAACATTTAAGACTGCAGCAAGAGAATAACAGAAAACTAGGAGTTTTTTCAACCAGCAGATAATCAATCTTACTGCACTAAAGCCTTTTCAACTGGAGCAGGTCACTGACACAATTACAGTTCCTTGAGGTGCCCATGAACCAAATCAAATAAAATCACAGCGAAGACGTTTTTCCTCAGTTATAAGCCCTTACATAGTCAAGCCACTTAAAAACTCTTCACCATTGAAAGCATTTTACCCTAACATTTCATACAAACACCTCTTATATTGTTTAAGAAAACCTTTCTCAGTTTTGCCATATTTATTTTCAAACCCATTTCCAAGCAGCTGTGTGGTTACACTTTATGTTTGTATGGAAATGCAAAATATGGAACATGACTGTCATAACTCTGAAATTCTATTAAAAACACATCCTCTAGGTCACATGGCAAAAATATTTCTCGTAGAAAATGCTCATTACTGGGCCAGGAGATTTAGTGGAGTAAGTTAAGGAATCTGCAGCCAGGCAACAAAGCTTTCTGAAACCAAGTAGTGCCACGGAGGTCTACAGCTTACGGATTTAGGAAACTACCAAAGGAAACCCACTAATGAATTATTGCTATGGCAAAGATCAGTTTAAAGTAGTACGACAACTACAAAATGAAACGAAAAAGCCACACACAAAGCCTTTCTATTTGGTCTCCACACTTTTTTATAATCACTCTTTTACAACAAATTCCAAACTTCATTGGATCTTGACATCTCAAATAATGTTCCCGATAAGCGCCGTCTCCCGGGACCCTGCCTACCAGCAAAGGAATAGGGAGAACACGACACCAATTCAAAACAACTGGTACGTGTCAAATTTGCAGGTTGCTAGATTTTCGCTAGTAACTGCTCTAGCTTAATTTTTACGATAGCACACAGCAACTCTCCAGTCGTTTAAATAAATAAATAAAATTAATCAGATGATAACTGCTTCCGAATTCAAAGCTGCAGCAGGCACTCTGCCCCAGAACGTCAGAGCCCCGCGCTGCTCCTGGCTCATTCATCACACCAGATTGCATAGGTGTTCCTGTCACTCAAGGAGGGCCGTAAAGCAGCCATAGGCAATAAACACAAGCAATTTGTACTCTTCCAGGAGTATCATCTGTGCAATTGCGCTACAAACACACGTTTCAGGAACAGAAAAGCTAAAACAAAAATGCACAGCAGACCCCCTGGAGCACCAGTTTCTTTTTGGTTTTTCCCTCTCTCATCTTCACTTGACCTCCTGCTGGAATTCTCAACCCCGTGGCTGTCCTGTGCAGCCCCGAGCCGACGCAAAACTTTGCATCATTCCACCTCTGCCTCTAGTGCCAACGTTGTAAGTGCGACAGCCCGTTACGTCTGAACTATGTCACTACTACAGTTTGCAGCGATGAGTGGAACGCGGTGTAATGTGGCCAACACCTACACTAATTTCTAAAATATATATTTAAATTCTCATTCGAATGATGCAGTGTTCTAAGTGTTTTAAATGCTAATAAAAATGGGACATTTTTCTAAAGTTTTTGTTTGTTTGTTTGTTTTTCAGCTTTTTAGAAAGCTGCTCTCTCAAGCGCTGAACGTCCCAATGCACTAACCCTGGCTCTAACCCATGGGAATCCAACAACGAAATGTCCTGGAGTCGGGGTGTGAGACCACCCAGAATGACTTGAAGGGGTCCATGGAGGCCCGAAGGCAAGCTCTGCCAGCTTCCCTTGCTTTGCTAAATTTCAACTGTGGAGACGCAGCCCTAGAGACTAATCTAGCAAGGTAGAGACCAATTGACAAAGTCTTGCTGACTTAAACCCCATGCAACCAAATTAATTGAGTAGCTCTAAATTTGCCTCTTGTGGATGCTTTGTGTTTTATTTGCATTGTTGATCAACTCAGGCAACGAGTAATTTCTAATTACTTGTCAAGGAATATGTAAGTAGGGCTATATATATGTTCATTTTTTCCTGAAAATTCATACATGTGTAAGTCTCTTCAAAATCTAGTCAACATGATGGTTGGGTTTGTAAAAGCACAAAGTTTAAGCACCTTTCAAGCCTTATTTTTACTACCCACGATGAGTGATGCACAAAAATGAACACTCACAATGACAAAAAATACATTTGATTTTGAAATTACCTGTCATAGAGACTTGACTCTTTAAAAAAAAAATAATAATCACTGGGGTCTTTCCTACTAAACCCAGTGAGAGTACAATGAAGTTGCACATTAGCAGTAACAAAAGTAAGCACCTTTTTAACACCATGGTTTCTCAACAAGGATGCTTGGATTAAAAAAAAAAAAAAACACACAATTAAGCCGTTCTCCTTCATAATTTATCTTACCTATTACAATGATGCTGATCACTCTTAATACTATTCTCTCAGTGGCTAACAGCCAGGGCTTCATTACACAGCACTGTATACACAGCAAACCAAGAGGATAACCCCATCCTTAGCAAGCTGGTAGTCAAAGCTGAGAAATGTTTTCTTCCACACTAACTCTCACACAGATGGGCAGCCAGAGAACTACGACATCACCTTCCCTCAGACTCCTGACTACAATAGCCATTTGCAGCGATGTCCAAGATCCTGTCAGTTGAGATGATGGTCACAGAGGTCATGTCCTTCCTGAAGCCGCTGCCCTGAAGCTGACCACTATTATTTCATTGTTTCCATGTATTCTCCCTTCTCCCGTTTCAGTGGTAGGCCCAATCTACATGGATTCAAGACACAGTAACAAGATGGGATTTGTAAAAACCAGTGTGGTGGCAATAGTCCAAACATAAATGATGAGATGAGATGAGAAATTTTTGTCTGTGTGAATGTGGGAGTGGAGAGAAGAGGCAAAAAAGCCCACTTCTTGATGAAGTTAAAGAAAGGAAGCGGGCCAGTTAATACACAACCTGTACATGCAGAGCAGATCCTCACTGAAAGATGTACAAGCTTCAAAGGCTTAGTGAAAGGAAGAGTGATGATTGTAACCATGGTGCTTGAGAAAAGCGAGAATGTGGGACCCAAGGTTGGAGCAGGAGAGCAGAAGCAGCAGTGATGAAGCAGGCTAGACAGGACTTAGCTAAACTGAGAGATGATGGACCTGCCAAAGCTCAGGGAGAAGGAAATGTGAAGATGAGTGTGGATGACCGGATAGAGATGTGCAAGGGGCTGCAATTCCAAGCTGCTGCAGGATCAGGACAGCAGAGGCACTGAGCTAGTCCATGCCTACTTTCAGAGTCATTCCCCAAAAGGATGTGAAGGGTCTGCAGGATGGAGGCTGCCACCCCAACCCCACAGCCCTGCCAGAGGGCTGGGATGACGTCAAAGACCAGCGCACCACGGGAAACCTTGCCCACCATCAGTGAAATCCCAAGTCAAGCAATCGCACTGCTAAGCTGGGACCCTTGAGCCCAGAGCAAATCCCAGGCAGCCAGGCTCCCGAGGCTGGGCTGCACGCACCGAAAACCTCTCCAGCTGCCAGCGCACCCAGGCAGTCGGTTCACATCCCACCGGAGGCGAATCTCCCGCGCTCCTCTAGCTGGCGGCACACCGTCGCAGCCGCCCGACTGCCAGGGCATCCGCTGTGGCTGCAGCACAACCAGTTCACCCCTGCCAAAGAAACCGGCCCAAAAACGCTCCGGTGGCCCCCGTCACACGCCACCGCCAAAGCCCTCCCTTCCTAACAGACGGCAATTCCTTTTTTTGCCCCCTGCTAAGTCCCAAACCACTTATCACCGCTGCGGGCAATGTGTAATTTGCATGTTTTAACTGTATGATTTCTCTCTTCTTGCACTACGGCAGTAGCCTCCCTCCTGGAAGAGCCAGGATAACTAACTCACTATTACGCTAGTTGGTGTTTTGACTTGAATTTGCTTCCTATTCACGGGAAGGATGAAGAAGAGCGTGTTGACTCGCCAGACTGTGGTTTCTCTCCTTTCTGAGACTGACTTACACGCGAGGCAGTAAAAATATAATCACATTTGTTCCCGCTTTAGGATTTCTTTCAGGGTAACAATACACCTACAGCTTGATTTTTTTTACATCGCAATGCATCATTTTCCAAAATCTTCACCAATACATACATTCTGAAGCTAAGCCATGCTTCTCTTTCCATCTCAGACCTCTTGCCTTTCCTTCTCTACGAACCTTATTCACAGGGGGCAAGGCCTGGCTTCACCGAACGAGGCCTGGCAAACACGGAGGCAGGAAACGCAGGGGAGAATGAGTCTGTCAGACTCATTTTCTTCTAGGTTTTACTGCTGAATGTTTATTTCAGATCTGGGAGGAAGCACAGTGGCTCCATTCCATTTCCTTGACTGCATAACCCGCTCGGTGCAGAGCCCCACAAATTCACTTTACACTTTCACTGCACCAAGGAAATAAAAATGTTTCTATAGTCACAATACGAACTCAGAATTTTTTTTAATTTTTTTTTTACCAGCCCTCAGTTTCTTTGCTTATTTATGTTGTCGCCATATTGAATTTTATGGTTAGACCTTTATGCTATCAGAAAGGAAAATTTCTCAATGCTTTGATTTCCTTTGTCCTCCCACGTACACGTTTGGTTCTGTAATACCCGCTTTGTTTGGGGAAGCATTATTTCTGCGGTGCACAGGCATGTGAGGCTCCCTGCGCAGACAACACAACTCCCTTTTGCAGCCATCCCACAAAACTCCTTCCACGCAGACTCTGAGAAAAAAAAAAAGAAAAAAAAAAAAAGAAAAAAATCCCTCCACCTCGGTCTCCTGAAATAGTACAACTGATAAAGTCTGTCTGCTTTTCCACTTTCCCAAAGACTTTTTTTTCTTGCTTTTCAGGAGAAAAGGGAGGAGTTTCCTTGGAATCTTCTGAGCACTCCGAGCGATCTGGCTGGCTCCAGGCGCAGTGCTGCTACGCCTGCTTCACTGCTTTCCTCCTTCTGACAGGAGCACTTTTAAATGCCAAACGGGGAATATTAAAACACTAAACTGAAAGATCTTCTGATGGGGTTACTACTGAACTACAACAGATGGGGCTGTCTTAAGCTCTAGGCATGAGGAACGAAGCCCAATTTTAGATACAAATTAGTTCTTGAGAATATTTATAGATGGTAAACTCCTTGTGCACACGGAGCAGCCCTGTGAAATCACGGCACAGATTAATTGCTCGCCTTTCAATTGACAGAGGCACGTTGCCTTGTCTGTTCAGGAGAACTTCCAGTGGAATCCAGCACTGGATGCAACTTCATTCCACAAGGTTGCGGAGCACCTTGCTCCTCCTCCTGAGCGGCACCGCTGCCTGGCAGCGGGACGGCAAACGGAAATAAGCTGAGCAAGGATGGATGGGGCAGCCATCACCGCGCCTTGGCGAGCGCTTTCATCAATTAAAACTGTAAAAAAGAAAAAAAAAAATTTTTGGTCTTAAAATAGTACTGCGTTCCCCAATTACGATAGCTTTGGATCTATTAGGTGTTCTGTTATTCACCACTGAGCAAGAAATGGCACTGAACTGGATTTCGGAATAACGATCTGCTTTTCTTCCAAAGCACAAGGTGAACAATGCTACCTCTGGAAGAAAAAAATGGAAAGTATCATCTGAAGGAGGGAGAAGGACAAAAGCAAAAAATAACCAGAAAAGAGAGGCTGTGAAGGTCACAGCGAAACAAAACAGTTCCTCCTGAATGTATTTTTCATGGAAATGTAATATCAGAAAACTGCGCAGAGCCATGTACTTTTTGCACACAACATTGTATCAAATTAAAATTTGTTATAACCATGGTGTACATTAGGTTAGCGGTAACAAAAACTGTAACTTAATAGCTGGCATAAGGAAAAAGCAAGCAACCTGAATACCCATCCAGTCCTGTTAAAACTGAGTGGTGACACTACTGTTGGAAGATGCCAAGCCAAGCAGCTAGGTGTTGTGATCCTTCTCCGGCACGTATCTGGCTGTATCGAGCAGCAAATCTTGAAGGGAGTCTCTGTGATGAGGTAATTTCGTTGCCCATTCACAGTGCCCCGCATTTGCTGTACTTAAAATAGACACTTGTACCAATGGCCTTTTTATTATCTGAAGGGGGGGGGGATAAAAAAAAATCACATATACACCAGTCCTTTTTCTTTCTGCTAGCAGAGGGAGGCAATCCGATCCAACGTGGGCTGAAACCTGAGTAGGTCACTGTACACCATGATAAAATTCCCTAATCCCTGAGTCAAATTTCCCTGAGGGGGCCCTCCTACTTCTCCTTCACTTTCCAAGCTGACTTTTCCATTCCCTCTCTCGTCTTTTCCTCCCCTTCATCTCTTTCATTTCCCCTACCTTAAAGCCTTGATATCTGATCCGCTGCCGATGCTCGGGTTACAGTTTTTACAGCTTAGGCTGTCTATTGCTGTATACATTCCTTTCTTTCTGCTCTGCCGTGATTACTTACCCGAGCTTATTTTACGCTGGTCCAGATGAAAGCAGTTCAGACGAAGGGGAACAGCCAGCCTGTTTGAACATCACAGATACGAACCCACACAAGGGCACATTGTGCTCCCTCCCTCCCTCCCTCCCTGCCCCCCAAACCTTTTGCGGAGTGTAACCGATTTGTTACATTATCGTTTTCCTCAGGTTTATGAAGAACAACTAGGCATCTTAATTCATCAGGGAAGAAAAAGAGTAAGTCATCGCCACAGGATTCTTAACTTTCTCAACCAGTCAAAAACTCAAACCATTTTTTTTCTCCCCCCACCCCTCACCTTGCCCCTTCTTAGATGATAGTAGCCAACCGTCCTACTAAAAATGCACAGCATATATCTATCGTAGTTTACACTGAAAGGTGGCCTGCGTTTTGCGAAAGGTTCTGCCACCAGCTACCTCACTCTCGACCAGAAATCACTTCGGGCCAAAATGCCGTTTCTACCCGCCTTTAATTTTCAAGTCGGCTGAAATCTTGAGGTTTCTAACCTTAAGCAGCTACCCATGATCAAAACAGAGAAACTCTGCACGAAGGTTAACGCCAGTGCTTAATACCAAAGCATTAGCTTAAAATTGTGTAATTTTTCTCCTTCACACAATGTTGTTTTTGTTTCTTCCTCACCCTTTCAGACAAACATCTGTTATACTGTAGAAGAACAACTATCTCCCAAACCGCTGAGTGTGCCTGCAGCCAAAGTAAACAAAACAAACCCAGAGGATCCAGCACAGTCAGCCTTTATATCCAGCCAGGATAACATTTCACATGTTTTGATTAAAATTAGCTAATTTGTAATTCTAGAACCTATGAAACTTAAAAGCTGCAATCCATACAGATCGCATTAGGCGATGCTCTGAGGGGCCAATGCCCTACACTACAGACCTCTGCAGTCCTCAGAACTATGTGGGATTACAACGAGCAATGACTCTTCGGTGCCTGCACAGAGCCCTCTCCGAAAATAGGATGTCTCATATATCTTGCAAAGAATAATGCCTCTCCTCGGGACTTGAAACTCGTACGGTTTGTTTCCAAAGAGACGCACCGACACGTTATTTTGTTCGCTCCCCCAGTACTACTCCTGTCCACGTTTCCAGCTGATGTGCACGCAGAGCTGTGTACACGTTCGCTGCGCAGGCAGCAGGAGCAAGAACAGCCTGCCTTAGGCAGGAAAGGGCATCTAACCGAAATCAGTGGTGTGCAAAAGAGGGGAGAGGGGAGGGGACGTGCGCGTTCCCGTTTAATTTTACCTGGGGAGATCAATGCTCCGGAAAGCAGAGATATTTTCACCAGGCATCACGCATATTTATATACTCGCCTATACAGTATACATACTATGCAAATGTGTGGCATTTTCTAGGCAGCCCTCCACTTACAATCAGCCCTTTAATAAATGACATATTCAAATTAAATGTCAGCAGCTTTATCTTACAACCAGACTATGCCGTTTTAGTCACTTCATCTGTGCATTAAACAACAACAAGTTGAGCTGAGTCTCCCAGTACCTTGTTCCCAACTTTGGGGAATTAGAGACATAAAACAAACAGACATGGAACAGACATGGAAAACAGGCGCAAAAAATAGGAACGGTCAAGCCTGGAACAGCGACCCAACGACAAAAGAAGTCCCGAGATAACGTTTTTGCGCGATCGCAGCCATTCTAACATCTGGAGTGGCTACCTCCAGCGCACAGCTGGACTGGCTGCGGTTCCTATGGGGCAGGCCAGCCCTCCGCACCATAAATACACTTGCATCAAAAGCAGCCCTCGGACAGCCGCCTTTCCTTTCGGCAACCCCGCCGCCGCCGTGATGAAGAGGAGGAGGGGAAGGGGAGGAGGGAAAAAGGGGTCTCCGCGCTGAAGTGCGAGAACGATGCGCGGCTCAGACCGTAACATTTCACTTTGACAATTTAATTACACAGTTGCAGCTGGCTACTGAAAAAGGAGAGAAATAACAGTGTTTAAAAAGACGTCCCTTTCTTTCCTAACTTTAGGGCTTCCCGGCTACCTGAAGGCATGGCTACAGAAGGTAAAGAAAAAAGAAAAAAAAAAAAAGGCTCATCACTGGCACTCAAAGAGCTTAAAAGCCCAGCGAGGGAGAGTTGTTTAGTTTTTGTTTTGTTCTGTTTTTTTTTTTTAAATAAATAAATAAAAGCTGGTCAATGAACAGGATTTGCAGCCTGTGAATTCGTCTCTGTTTTCAGCCCAGGAGGCGGAGTTGAGACACATTCAGTGCATCCTACAAAAAAAAAAAATGACAAGAGAGCCTTTCTTATTTCATTTCCACGCAGGGAGGCGGGGGGGCGGGGGAGGACCCCCGCTCCCTTCTCCATCACAGGCACCTACCTTCATCTCCTCGTTGATCTCCCGCTTCACCGGGTGAGCCGGCTTCCTGCTCCTTTTATTTTCGGGAGGTCTCCCTTCTTTCTCCATTTCTGCCATTTTTTGCGCCTACTTGGTGGTGGAGATGAAATGGCTGCTGGTGCTCTGGGGGGGCCGGGAGGGGC